AAAAAAAAAGAAAGAAAGAAAAGAAAAGTGAGAAGGGCCCCAGGCTTGACTGCTGGCTTGCCAGGTGTTTGCAGAAAGTACTAGAACACTAGGAAAACCTGGGTGGCAGGAACTTTGCATGCGTGCTGCTGGCACTTCCTGGATGATTTCTGCCCTTTCCCTGGGGCAGGTGCACAGGTGGGTGCTTCCACCTCCAATTGAGGCTGGATGACACGGATTATATTTTGCTGTGGACCACCATGGAGTATGTATCCCTTCTGATTCACTGAAACTCTGGCAGCTATCCTTATTCTGGCTGAAGTCAACCTAAGCCTCAGAAAGAGGACATTGGGTTGCTCAGCCTCTCCCTGCTCACCATAAGTGGTTTGGGTGGCTTTACTTTCAGTTTCTCCTCTGTCTCAGTGAGCTGGGTGGTACTCCAGCTAGCTAGTCTGTTAGCCTTTGAAAGAGAAGAAGCAGAACGAATGTTATAGTGTAGCAGCCTATGGGGAGAGAAGAACCTCAGGCCTGCGGAGCACAAGAGTTACTGATGAGGGACTTGGACAGGCTGGGGAGAGGAGGCCACTGAAGGGGGATGGAGCCCTGACCTCTTGGTGCATTAGGGCTATAACTGGAAGATCCTGTTGACCTCCGTCCCAGTTTGAGTGGCTCTGCTTTCCCTTTCCAGCCTTTTAGGCCTTATAGTTATCTTTCCTCTGCAGTTTACCTTCTCATCCCTCTCTACCCTGATCCCAGGTTGAAGTGACTTGCTGCTGATTAAAGGCCAAATTGGTTCTTTCACTGTGGTGGTCTCAGCCCTAATGGGGCTCTTCCTGATCCTGAAGTGAGCAAAAAGCTCTTCCCTTCTGGTGTGCCTTTTGGCCTGTAGAGGCTGGCTGAGCCAGAGAGAGTTAGAAGTGAAGTCATTTTGCCCCTGGGTACTCCAGAAACACTGCTGCTGAAGTGCAGAAGCAGGACGCTGGGACTCACTGTCCTTTCTAAAGGCTAGCACTGCAGCTTGGCTGGCCACAAGCAGAGGGAGAGGAAGGTGGTTGCAGGGACCCTTCTAGGAACCTGGGAGTCCAGGCTGGGTTCTGTTAACTTTTATGTGGCCTAGATAAGATAGAGTTTGTGGGTAACATAGACATTTAAAAAAAAAAATCTCTTAGAGATGGAAAATGTTACGGTTCCTGGAGTTGAGGAAGCACTGTGAGGGAGATGGTGCCTTTACTTGTGAGAGGGCTCTGCTGGTGCAAGCTTTCCTTTGAGGTTTGCTCCTTAACATTTGTGGAATAGAGATGGCCTCTGTTGCTGTCTGTCCTGGGCTAAGGACAGCAGTAATGGCAACCAAGTGTTATTTGTTAGTTCTCTCTTGCAGGTTTCTGTGGTGGGGGGGGGTTGTTTGTCTTTTGGTGCTGAGACTCAAATCCAGGGCCTTGCTAATAAGCCTGCACTTGAGTACTGAATGCATACATCGTAACATAGTGTTTGTTTAGTACTTTTTCTGTACCAGTCCTTGGTCAAGTATTTTCACACATTATTTCATTTAATTCTAGTAGCAACCTTTGAAGTAGGAAAATTGATTATCTCTTATTTCTCAAAGGAGGAAATAGGCCTAGAAGAGTTAAGTAGCTGGTCCACATTAGAGCCCAGGTCTGTCTGGTTCCAAAACCCACGCGGTTTCACTTCCCTCTAAGCAAAGATTGGTAAACCAAGTCAGCACACCCTTCTTAATAGTCATCTGCTTGCAAAAGTTAAAAGATACTCATGCTGATCATTGTCACCTGCATATCCGTCTCACCACGCCCAGGCTCTCTTCCTTCCCTAAATAGAGACTTGCCTTCAGGCTGACACACCTAGCCACTTCCCCCTGCTCTCAGTGCAGGGCTTAAATGCAGGAAACTATGATGTTTGCTCTTCTTCCTCTCCCTGCCCTGTCTCAGTGTCCTCTGGTTGACTTGGTGTGGCCCCTACTCCAGGCCTTCTGTGCAGCTGTTATAGAAAGCCCCACAGTAAAGCTGTGTTCTCATGTTTTCTAAATGGGGATTTTCAGGATTCTGAATGTGAAATCTTCACTTCTGCAGGTCATTTATAGACCGGATGTGACTGCCTGCCGCTGGCTCCAGTGAGGTTTCTGCCGGAAGTGGTCTAAGGCACCTTCAGCCTTGGGCGGGCCTTCATCACCTAAGGGTTGTACCAGCCATGTTTTCTGTGGAGAGGTGGCTGTTCAGAGAAGTGATGAGTCTTTAAAATATGTCATTGTTCTAGGCATTTTCACTTCAGTGGTATCAGTTTTCTCTTAGTTTTGATTTTCCTCCATATTTATTTCCCTTTTAGAAAGCCTTCTTAAGTGTGTCTTCTCTCCCCAGTGCTGGGGTCAGGGCCACTGGGCCCGTCAGGGTTGGCAGGCACCCTTTCCGCACCTCCCCATTCCTGAGGGTGTTTGCATTCCTCACCCTGGGCTTCCTGCTGCAGGGAAGTACATTCCCTTCTTTTTCACCCTTCTCTTTCACGTTACTCTCCTGCCTTGGACTGTTTGGAATCTGCTCTTCTGATCATTTTCAGTGATTGATAGTATGGCAAAGAGAAATGGATGCTTCCGCACTTCCTAAATTTTAGTCTTTGGTCTTTTCTCGGGTGTGCTCTGAAATAGCCAACATTTGTCACTGTTGTTTTTACCATGCCGTGCCATTAGCATCACAGAGGCCGGTGGCTCCACAGTACTTGCTCCTGTGTTTTTACTTCTAAGCACACAGGAGCTCTGCCGCTGTGGCCCCGTGTGCTTGTTGGTGCCTGTCCTCTTACTGGTCTCTTAGATGCCACTGGTCTCTTTTCCTGGTAAACCTTTCCCTTTTACAAGTTCAAGTGTTTTCCTCTCTCCCTGCTTTTGCCACTGCTGTCTCTGGCCTGACCTGGGTGAGCCCAATGTAAGAGCTGTGCTCTTTGCACGTTCCACGACCCGTCATAAGGCAGCTACCATACTTTTTCTAGAATAAAATTCCAGCAAGCCCTTGTCCTGCCATCACACAAAAATCTCTCGATTTAAGAAAAAAAAAGTCTTTTTTTCAGTTTTGAGCTGAGGCTGTAGGTTATTTTGTAATCTGGACAATACCATTTAAGGCTTTCTGTTATCCATGTCTCTCTTTTTTATTGATCTCGAACATATCAGAGTTGTTGGGTGGATGAATCACCCGCATTTCACTCTAGTGTTTCATTTGTTTCGAAACTGT